ATTGTATTATGTGAGTATTTTGGAGGTGACGCACATGTTATGTGACGGGCGTGTGGGCGTGCACCGTGAGAATTGGGACCTGGTCCATTTCGTGAAACTGGAAAGTTGAATAAGCTTGTTAGCTATGTGTCCTTTCTGTGCTATAGAAATTTGACAGTGAATCATGTTAGAAATCATGCTTAGACTATGTGTTGGTGTTGTAAAGACCCCCAGCGGTCGTAATACCTATTGAACCTTCCTTCTTATTGTTACTTGTACTCAATCACAGTTTACTTATTTATTTTATCACAGTCTCTATTGTTCATTATTGATGCATCATATCATTGTTGTTTGGGCTGATTTCATGATTATTGAGAGCCCGAGAGACTGGAGAGATTTATGATTGAGCGAGGTTGAGGGCCTTATTGAGAGATATTATATTATAGCACGTGAGTTGTCCGTGCGGATCCAGATATTATACTATAGCACGTGAGTTGTCCGTGCAGCACGTGAGTTGTCCGTGTGGATCCAGATATTGATACTATAGCACGTGAGTTGTCCGTGTCGCACGTGAGTTATCCGTGCAGATTATAGCGCTTGGGCTGTAGGAGCCCCTCTGGAGTCTGCACATCCCCAGTGAACGCAGGTACATATTGAGTGTGAGTACTGAGGACTGAGAGCCTAGTGATTGAGCTGTTGTGACAAGTTGAGTGAGTATTGCCCTGAGAGGCTGTACTTGCTTTTTCATTTGTTGATGCACTTAGTTGCTATCTGTCATTGTCGTGAAATTTCTGAAAGACTCTATATCCGGATTTACCTGCATTGTAATTGTATAAAACTGATTTGGTTTGAAATGCCGGTTTTGAAAGCATGTCTATTCTTTGCTGGAAATATTAAAAATGAACTGTATTTGTATAGCTCGTCACTACCTTCTCAGTTCCTTATTTATTTATGTTACTTGCTGAGTTGGTTGTACTCATGCTACACCCTACACTTCATGTGGAGATCCAGGTGTGTACGGTTCTGGCGGTTGCTGAGTTCGTCCGCGAGCTGATTATCGGAGACTTACGAGGTAGTTGTCGGCGTCCGTAGTCCTTGTTTCTCCTTTCTTACTATCTTTTCTCTCTTGTATTGGCATTTGGCATAGAGTGTAGTAGACTGTGTTTCTAGATTGGTTGTTAGATGCTCATGACTCAGTGACACCCCGATGTCGGGCTATTTTTCTGCACTTATGTTTTATTTGGGTTTTACCTCCGTTTTTATGAAAAACTCTGGTTATTTTAAATGTATTAATTCATTTCTGTTAAATTTTGAAAGTGTTTTGGAAAGGTCGACTTGCCTAGTATCACGATAGGCGCCATCGCGACGGATTAGGTTTTGGGTCGTGACAGCGTTTGATGGGTATTTTTTTAGTGAGATGTAAGCCCCAGAAACGTTTTCAAATTAAAATAAAATTTGTTGAACAAGTCCTTCATATAATACCCAAATTCTCAAAATTCGGCTTGGTAATTACTCAAAAGTTTTAAAAAGGAACTGAAATGTATTAAATTTAAAAATCAAGACCTTTTTTATTGATTGAAGCTCTAATTCATGGTCTTTCCCAATTTTTTATCTTGTCCGCTAATCTGTTAATATCTCCCAAAAGCAACGAATATTCTATTTCTTTTTTACAAATACAAAAAGAACTACATTCTCTTTTATAGCAGCAAGTTCAAAGTTCAAGTTGCAGGTTAGTCATCCTTTCTGTTCCTCCATGTATAAAACTTTATTCTTTTCGACTCAAGTTACTTGTGCTTCTAAGTAGCATATAATAAATTGTTTTGACTAGTTTTTTTGTGGGGATGAAGCATATATATATATATATATATATATATATATATATATATATATATATGTGTGTGTGTGTGTGTGTGTGTGTGTGTGTGTGTGTGTGTGTGCGCNATTATTTTATAAAATATTAAAAACTAAATACCTATGGGGCTTACGCCTCGCTGAGGTATATGTAAAACGTCTCGCCTTACGCCCACGCCTTTTAAAACACTGATAGGAGATGGTCTAAGTGTGAGATTTAGTAGGAGAATGGTATGATGTGTATGACGAAAATGTAATGATATTTCCCATATCCAGGACCTAAAGGTAAAGGATCAGATTCCAATAAACTGTTCCTCGGCAAACAACTTAATCTAATAGCGTCTTTGGCCAAGCTTTTCTCAAAGCCGAAAGTGCTTCTTTTTTCTAACAAAAGTATTTTTTTTCTCAATTTGAGGTGTTTGATCAAACTTGTTAGGAAAAAGTATTTTTGAAAAGAAGCAAAAACAGTAAACTATATGAAAACCACCATGTAATAACTAGGCTATGTAATTGTTACACTAGTAATTACACAACCTAGTAATTATAGTGTATAATAATTACAAAGTCATATTTGTTTGTCATAACATAATTACACGTGTTATGATTGATTGCACGAGTGTAATTACATAGTAAAATATTTTTTATTTAAAATAAAAGCTAAATTTAAAAGTTAATTTTTTTTTTCCAGATGAACATATAAGTAAATTTTAACATCTAACAAATATATGCATATTTAATTATAAATTGGTAACTGGTATTGTGAAGAATAATCGGTATCCTTCATATAAATATTACTATATTAACATGAATATATTAAAACCCAATAAAAATCGAATATTTTACCAACTATATGTCTGAATATAATATGTAATTCATGATGTGTTGCACTTTTAAAATTAAAAAAAAACATAAAAATTTATACTACTAATTAATACAGTAGACAATAAAATATTTATTTTAAAAAGTATAAACACTACTTATCAATCTAGCTACAACATAATTTATACTGAAACTTGTTATTATAAAGCTAATAAAATTTCAAATTATCTATAATCATCAATCAAAAAATTTCCGATTAAATATTTATTTCAACAAAATAAAAAATGATAGAAATAACAGTATAGCAGGCCATTGAGTTCATTACTATGATCAAGACATCAACCTACAAAGTACTCCAATTAGTACTAGTGTAATACGATTGCAGCAATAAAAGAAGAGATTTAAAAGGGAAGAAGAAAAATGTCAGGATATACCTCATACCAAACGACCCCTAAGAATATGGCTTCACGTTGAAACAGAAATTTGAGAAGATGACAGAAACGGAAGAGGTCTTAATAGATACATATTTGAAAAGAAAAGAAAAAAGAAATATAAAAAGTCATTTGGTAATTACATGGTGTAATTACCACCAATTCTCACATCTCCCTTGAGAATGAGAGAGTGTAATTACTCCCTCTCAATTACACCTAATTTCACACTAACCGAGTAATTACTTGGCCAAATAAACAAGCCAAACTATATAATTACACCCAATTACACCCAAATCCAATTACATAGTGGCTTAACAAACATGCTCTTAGAGAAGCAGAAAAAAGTAAAGTCTCCTGGGTAGCAGAAGCAGTTGACTTTTCTTCTTACCAAAAATACCCTTAGCAAAATATAGTATAATAGACAACATCAGAGATTATATTCTTGAGAACTCTCCTAATGTATAAATATTTCTTCTTATTTTTAGGATAGTTTTCTAATATATACTCCCTCCGTTTTAATTTAAATTTAAATGACACACTTTCCTTATTAGTCCGTTTCAAAAAGAATGACATGTTTCTATATTTAGAAACAATTTAACTTTGAACTTTACATTTTACTCACTTTACCCTTAATGAGAAGCTTTTATAAGAAATTTGTATAGCCATACAAATATTATGGTCCCACAAAGCTTTTACTCCTTAACCTTTTAGGACCACATATTTCAAAAGTTTCTCTTCTTTCTTAAACTTTGTGTCAAGTCAAATTACCTCATCTAAATTGAAACGGATGGAATAGTAATTTTTAGGGTGAATACTTTTGTATTTGTTGAATGATATTTTGATATATTGAAATCATCTTGAAAGAATTAAAATACTTTTCAATTGTATTTTCTTATTTTACTTAAATAAAATGAAAAAACCTAACTATTATCTTTAATAATAAATATTTGAGATTATTTATTAATTCATATCATATTAACTATTAAGTAAATCTCTTCATGTCCTTATTCGTAATTTGATACTTAAAAGCACTTTTTTAAAAAGTTTGGTCAAACACAAATTATTGTTCAAAAGTGTTTTTCAGATTGATAAGCCAAACACAAACTGCTTCACTTTCTCCACTAGTGTTTGTAACATCTTATGGTTCATCACTTCAAAATCTCTACTAGATATTTAGTGTCACGACCCAAAAACACCAACCGGTCATGATGACGCCTAACGTACTTTTAAAAAAAACACTTTTCAAAAGAAATTGATTTTTTCAGCTTGGTCAAACAGGCTGTAAAGCTTGTTACGTTTATTCCCAGAAGCCAGAGAGATAACAGACATTCCAGTGCTCAGAAAATGTAATATACCTAAGTTATTCTTGAAACATACATACTTGAATGCTGACAAATCAGCAGAGGATTATGCAGTTCCAAGCATTTTCTAGCACCATTCTGCAAGATGCTTGCTGCATTTAGAACAGCACCCACTGAAAAAGACTGACTACAGCGGAATTGGTTCTCTTATCTTAGCAGTCCATAGAATTTATGGAAGAGAGGAGGAAGGAAAGGAAAAGAAAAAAGAAAAAATCATGTAAATCATGAGATGTCTCACTCATAATCGTAATCTTTCCTAGCATAAACTTGCTATGCTGTCAGTTACAACAACAACGCCTTAATTCCAAACAAGTTTAGGCCGACTCCATTGCTTTGTTGTCAGTTACCAAATTAATATTTAACAAGAAGTACAAAGCATGTTGACGCATTCACATCAAGAGGATGCACATACAAATGCAAGTCCAAGAGACAACTTCTACTCTCTTCTTGGGTCCTTTTATCAAGTATTTTATGTTTTGATTGATATTGTAAGCCATCTTTCGTCATATACCCCACATTCTTGTTCAAGAATAAACAAGAAACATAAGTAAAGGCACAATGAACTAACAGATCTTCAGATTCAGGCATCCAACTCACAAGGTAATATCCATGAATACTTGAGCAACTGTATAACCAAATGCAATGGACATTTTCCAATACACGGGGCCTAAAGGATCAATTCCAATCAAATGTTCATTGACAAAATCCTGTTACCTTTAGTCAAGAGCCTGAGAAATAATGGAGGACATTCCTGTGCTCAGATATGTAATATACCCATGTTAATCTTGAAAGGAACCTACTTGAATTCTGATAAATCAGCATACAGCATTGTCAACTGAAGCAATTTCCGTCAATACTATGCAAGATATTTAGCAGATTTGAAACAAGCACCCATTAGAAAAGGCTGAATAGTCCAAATGCAAATTCTCATTACTGGAATAATAGAGCACTAACAAATGGAAAATGAGCATCTGAAGCACCTTTTACAGTGCTTCAGTCCTCCACCTCCGCCTCTACCCAAATCAAGGAATATATCTATCTACAAATAGGTTATTCTATCTATGGATATCTATAAAATTATTCAAATTGAATGGTCTTATCTTCTCTATTTCTCTCCCTCCCCCTCTCTTCTGCTTATTTGACAGGAGTATTGATTATCCCAACTTAGTTGCCCAAAGAACTTATGGCCCTAAGGTAGAAGGAGAATAACTAACTGACACATATGTATCTAGGAAACAATTCCACAGACATCTAATTTAGAGGTCTCATCATCACCTGAACCACCTCATCTCAAGAAATCTTTCTAAAACTCCCTGGTTTCACACGCTAAGATCATTTTTTTTTTTTGAAATGGTAACAGATTTCAATGATATATAAATAACAGATTTCACACAGTAAGCTCATGCCTTAGAAGAAACAAAAGTTCACAGATTCAACCTTCAGGCAATGCTATGGACTATGCTATTGAAGTAAAAAAAATTGATATTGATAGTACAGGGTCATTGCAATCTGTCAATAAATTTTAGGTTACTAAATTAGTGATCGTACTCCCTTCATTCCAAGTTATTTATACACTTGCCCTTTTGGGACATCTTGACATGTTTGGTATACATCAAGGAAAGCACAAAAATTCAAATTCTAAATTCTATTCATAGAAGTGGTAACAAAATGATCTTAATATTCAAACTACGAAATTATCTGGCTCCAATATTAGTAGTTCATTTATTCACCCTAAGAAAAATTAAAGGCAGAGGTTGTGCATTGGCTTGTTTCTAAATTTAATTGTGAGAAGTAAAAGACCACGACATGACAGAGATTTAAAGTTTTATACTTTAAATATAAGAAGAAAGTCTGGCTAGGACCTATACTTTCAGTTTCAAGTAAAATAGCAAATTCAGAACACAACAAATATCTTAATCATGTTGAATTAAATGAAGCAGAGAGCCATTACCGCGGATATTTGTAACTGCACTGCATTTTCCACTCTTGTTATGGACCACAAATACAAGCAAATGAAGCTTCAAAGTATAATTGATAAAAAATCAAAAGTACAAGATTAGCACTTCTCACCTTGAACTTCAGTGGATACACCCAATTTTGAGTGGAAGTGCATAGAAATTCAGCTGAGATCCATTAAAAAGTAGATGGGAGATTTGCCACAAACTGCATTTTGTTCACTACGCATTTAACTTGCAGATTCTAACAGGACACCTTTTCCATCTCCTCCGGTTATAGCAGCTATAAATGTAAAAGGTTGGTTCCTGGTTCTAGAGAATGAAGACTAACTGGAGTGAACCAGATGCAAGGTTCAACTAGATCAGTTTGTTACTTATGATGAGACTGAAAAAGGAAATATTTTATACAGGGATAGACTATAGAGTGACAACTTGGAGCAAGTTCTAGGCTGCTAACACATAGTGTTGGTGGGAGGTAGAGGGCCTTTGACACAGACAGAGATTTGCCCATGGATGAGTAAAGCATAGTGGAATACAAGGGTTTACACCACTGAGTTATTAGCCCCTTGTGCCAGTGTGATGGTCTAATCTATTCCTATTTGGGAAGATATGTCATCAGAAAGCCATTTGCAGATTGCGTGGCTACTCCCTTTCTTTTACTGCATACTCAGGGGCGTAGAAATAAACACATCTACATAACAACATCTTATTAAAATATACAGTTCGAATCATATTTTAAAAAAAACATTCAAACTATTACTACAACTCTCCTCGATAAGCTTTTATTTTTTAAGTTGAATTCGGTATTTTTTAATGTTATTTAATATCCTCATTAAAACATGACAACTATGGGACTAGCATCGTAAAAGTTATTATAAGAGTAATCTTTTAATAAATAGGGCACAAAATTTATAAAATAAACAACACATGCTGCTGCTAGGGCTTGAACCCACAACCTAGAGAAGCAAAAGAGCCGCTTGACCAGGTGAGCTAAGGAATTGTTTGCTCTAAGCACTGTCATTTCTTTATTATCTTTCTTAAGTTATTTCTGCATATTAATTACATATACCTATTTAGTACATTTTCCCGACGAAAGCCAAGGTTCATCCGCCCCTGTGCATACTCACTTCACTCTTCTCAATAGCGACACAGCCCTTTCCTGTTACTAAAAGATTATAATTAACTAGTGGTCCCCACATAAACCTCAAAGCTACCAATTCACACTTTAGAAGACATATAGATCATCTCATTGATTATTATATCGTGCCGCAGCAACTCAGGAAATTGAATTTGGATAAAGTAGTTTAAATTTTGGCAATTCACTGATGTAAGCACCAAAAATTACAAAAGAAAGGAAATCAAATAGAACTTTAGATAAAGCCTAAGAGTGCTAGTCATGGAGGAGTTAGATTTATTGTCTGATGTGTACACTTTTACATTGCAATACAGGGGGCACCTTATCTCTTCTAAATGTGCCTTGATTTTCTGCTCTTCAGGATGATCCTAATCTCATACAGTTCGTAAGTGAAATCTTCTTGTATCCTCAAGTCTTTGCCGTATTATTCTGTCTAATTTAATAGACGAGGTGTACCTCCCCTTTCTTATCATGCATATAATCATTTCATTAGCCCTAAGAAGTTAAGATTCGTGATAAGAAATACAATAACGTAAGCAGTTATTTTGGCTATTCGAAAATTATCATATCAGTTACATAACAAATATTACTCTGACTGATATAAATGGGTCACTAATATATTATTGAAAGCAAAAATGATTCTTTCAGCCAATCATCAGAACTAAAGATGATCTGAGTTCGAGCGACATCGCGTGATCAAAGATAACAAGAAAAACCCTAGCCGTATTCTAGCCTTTGTTAAAAATAGAACAGAAAAGTCATTCAAGTAAAATACTGTAATAGAAGGGTCAATGAGAACAAGAAGACAAGAAGTTACATTTCGATAATGTGATCAATTAATAATGATGTCAAATAATTGGCTTACTATTAACATTTGCTTAACAATGTAGCAGCCTCGTCTTGAAAAACTTTCCAAGCTGCAAGAATGTGCCTCTCTTCTGTTAGTGGGGCCCCTATTGCAAAACGTAGTACGTATCTATTTGAAAGAACCTGCACAACTTGTTGACAATCAGTAAGATATATATTATAAAAAAATTAATGAAGCAATCTATTTAATCCCCCAATTCTGAATCAAAAACAAGTTGCTCAGGAAATACTTGGCAAAATTTAAATATACCGTGTGTGAAATAAACAATTTCCCAGTTGAGTTAACAGCATCTAGCAGGTCATGGTTCAGATTGTTGGCATAATCTTCATTACTCTGGGGTGGTAGCAAGCGAAAGCAAACCAAAGAGAACTTCCGAGGGGTGACAATCTGCAGGCAATGAACTTCTCAGGGGACAGATTTCTTATATAAAAGAGATATTAGGACGCTTTAGATAAAAACAATAATAAGTGTCTATCATCCCCCAAAGAAGAAAAATGCTATAAAAAATGAATCAACAAAGGAGCATAATGCTGCACAACAATATTTGGTTTAGTCAAAAAACAGGAGGTCTCCATTGCACAATCATGTTTTCATTTAGTTAAAACCAGGAGTTCCCATTCTAATGATCATCGTTACAGCTTTCTTCGCGTTGGTAAATAGAGAAGACCACCCAAAGTTTCTGTCATCCACATTCTGCATATACGGGATAAATTTGATAAGGATAGCAGCCCCATAAGTATTCCCGGACCCAAGATTTTAGTGAAGGGGATCCAAAGCTAACGAGGCTTGAAAACGAGATCTTATACAAAGTTTGAAACCCCGTAACTGTTATTGTAAAGATATTTCTTGTAGCAAAGCTGTTTGTGAGAAATAATACACGGGAAAAATATTCTATTATGATGTACCCTACCAATAATACAAATACTCCTATTTATAACAATACACAATACCTACACTACTCCTATTCCAAGTAGGACTATGTTTATTTACATAACAACTAACTAACACTCCCCCTCAAGGCGGTGCATACAAATCATATATAACTAATACAAATCGTATTAGTTATTACATATATAACTAATACGAGGATCAGTGAGGGACTTGATGAAAATATTTGCAAGTTGATCATTCGACTTCACAAACTTTGTAGCAATATCTCCTGAGAGTATCTTTTCTCTGACGAAGTGACAGTCAATCTCAATGTGTTTGGTTCTCTCATGGAGGGATTTGACGCAATATGAAGGGCAGCTTGATTATCGCACACAAGTTCCATCTGGCTTATTTCACCAAATTTCAACTCCTTGAGCAATTGTTTGATCCAAACTAGCTCACATGCTGCCATAGCCATTGCTCGATATTCTGCTTCTGCACTAGACCGAGCAACTACATTCTGTTTCTTGCTCTTCCAAGACACCAAATTGCCTCCTACTAAAACACAATATCCAGAAGTAGAACATCTATCAGAGGTGATCCTGTCCAATCAACATCAGAGTATCCAACGATCTGCTCATGGCCTCGATCCTCAAACAATAACTCTTTTTCTGGAGCCGATTTTATATACCGAAGAATGCGGACAACTGCATCCCACTGCCTATCACAGGGTGATGAAATTGAGAAGAAGAGAAGGCTTCTTTGTATTACAATGTATTTTATATCCTACTGATACATGCCTTTATACAAAAGTTCTATAGCTATTCGAGGAAAGTAAATAAATGAAAATAATGAGAGAATATTCAGCTACAATACAATTTTCCTACAATCAAGCTATTAATTACATATTTGATTCTCTGATTTTTCTCCTATAATTAAGTTGGTCAACACTCCCCCTCAAGTTGGTGCAAAGATGTCACACATGCCCAACTTGCAAATCAGTCTATGGAAAGTCCGTTTGTTGAGACCTTTAGTAAACACATCTGCTAGCTGCTTTTTAGATGACACATGGAACAAACTCAAGACACCACTTGTAACTTTTTCGTTGAAGTGTCAATCAATTTCAACATGCTTTGTTCGGTCATGTTGGACTGGATTATGAGCTATACCAATGGCAGTCTTGTTATCACAATACAAGGAAAGTTTTCCTTTTTCATACAGTCTCAATTCCTCTAGTAGCCTTTGTAACCACAAAAGTTCACATACACCCTGGGCCATAGCTCTGTATTCTGCCTCTGCACTTGATCTAGCGACTACATTTTTCTTCTTGCTTCTCCAAGTAACTAAGTTTCCTCCTACGAGTGTACAATAACCGGATGTAGATCTTTTGTCATCTAGAGATCCAGCCCAATCCGCATCTGTAAAGGCTTCTATATGGAGGTAGCTATGTTTGGAGTTCAACAGACCTTTTCCAGGAGCAGACTTCAAATACTGCAAAATGTGAAAGACAGCTTGCATATGAGGATCTCGGGAATCATGCATGAACTGACTCACCAGGCTGACTGAATAGGCTATGTCTGGTCTAGTGTGGGAGAGATAAATGAGTCTTCCAACCAGTCTTTGATATTTTTCCTTATCGACTGACTTTCCGCTTTGTAACTTGTGATTACCTTCAATGGGTGATTCAATCGGTTTGCAACCTGTCATACCCGTTTCTTTCAAGAGATCCAAAATATACTTCCTCTGAGAAATAAAGATTCCTCTTTTTTGATCAAGCAACCTCAATTCCCAAGAAGTATTGCAACTTCCCTAGATCTTTGATTTCAAATTCCTGTGCCAACAGCTTCTTCAATCGGGTCATCTCCTCTTTATTCTCTCCTGTCATTACTATGTCATCAACATAAACTATGAGAAGAGTGAGTTTACCCTTTTGATGTCTTATGAAGAGGGTGAGATCAGCATTGCTTTGTTGGTAGCCGAAGGAGATCATTGCTTTGCAGAATCTGTCAAACCAAGCTCTAGGAGATTGCTTCAGTCCATACAAGGCTTTCTTCAATCTGCACACTTTTCTTTGACTTTGTTCGGTATCAAATCCAGGCGGGATCTCCCTATACACCTCTTCTTCTAAGTCTCCATGAAGAAATGCGTTCTTCATATCAAACTAATGTAAGTCCCAATCAAGATTAGTTGCGCAAGACAAAATGATTCTGATAGTGTTCATTTTGGCAACAGGGGCAAATGTCTCTTGATAATCTACTCCATAAGTCTGAGTGAATCCCTAAACCACCAATCTTGCTTTGAATCTTTCAATTGAGCCATCAGCTTTGTACTTCACAGTGAAGACCCATTTGCAACCAACCAACTTTTTGTCTGGTGGTGAAGTGACAAGTTCCCAATTATTATTTTTTGATAAGGCCTTCATTTCTTCAATCATAGCTTGCTTCCATTTAGGATCTGCAAAAGCTTCCTTCCAATTCTGGGGAATAGACACAAAAGAAATAGACAAGGCAAAGGCTCTATAGGAGGGGAACAAAGAATTATAGGAGACAAAATTAGATAAAGGATGTTTGGTGGTGCAAGATCTGACTCCTTTTCTGTGAGCAATGGGTATATCTAACTCATTAGGAAATGTAGGTAATTCAGCTTCGGCACATTGCATGATGACTTCTTCTACTCTATTTCTCCTTGAGTAAGTTTTCAAATCAGGTCTATCCAAACGCCCAATAGTCTCCCCATGTATTATGTCTTTAATTTTACTTTCCCCTGTGGTACTGTCAGTGGTTTCAACAATAGAACTCGCGAGAATCATCTCTTCCCTTTTATAGTTCTCCCCCTGAAGAGCTGATGATGTAATATTGAAATAGGGCTCAGATTCTCGAAAGGTAACATCCATGCTAACAAAGATTCTCCGAGAGGGAGGATGATAGCATTTGTTCCCTTTCTGTGTTGGAGAATACCTAATAAAGACACACTTAAGGCCTCTAGGATCAAGTTTCCCAGAGTTCCTTGTATGAACAAAGCAGACACACCCAAATACCTTCGGAGGAACAGTATAATCATTCTTACCCTTCAATACTTCCAGAGGAGTTTGAAAATTGAGGGTTTTGTAGTGGCATTCTATTGATGAGATAGGTAGCAACCAAAATGACATCCCCCAGTAAGGTTTTGGTAGATTTGTGGTAAACATAAGAGATCTTGCCACTTCTAACAAATGCCTATTTTTCCTTTTTACAACCCCATTTTGTGCGCTAGTATAAGGACAACTAGTTTGATGGATTATCTCATAAGACTCCAAATAAGCACCAAAAGTTTTATCCATGTATTCTGTGCCATTATCAGTACGCAAGATTTTTATCTTAGCCTCAAACTGAGTGCAAATCATCTTATGAAATGACTGAAAGCAGGAGAAAGCTTCATTTTTTGCCTTTAACAAATACAACCAAGTCATTCTAGTGCAACAATCAATAAAAATAACAAACCACCTACTACCAGATAAAGAAACTGTTTGAGTAGGACCCCACACAGCAGAATGATTAGTCGAAAAAAGAGTTGAACTTCTATTACCACTCAAAGGATAAGAGTTTCTAGTATGCTTGGCAAATTCACAAGCATCACAAAACAAAGATTCAAACTCAGTTCTAGAAAACAAACTAGGATATAACTTCTTTAAAGCAAAAAATGATGGGTGCCTCAACCGTCTATGCCATTGTATTATTTCTTGGTTGACATCCTTATTTCCTCCAAAAAAAAAAAGCCTGACTAAAGTCTCGAGTTTCATCAATCCAATATAAGTCATCATGCAATCTACCACTGCCAATCATCTTCCTTGTTTGAAGATCCTGAAAAACACAATGATCAGGAAAGAACTTGACACTACAGTGTAGTTTTTTGGTGATGGCGCTAACAAATAACAGGTTAACAGTAAACTCAGGAACATGGAGAACATATGATAATGTAATATCAGGTGTACAACAACAGAACTTGTTCCAGAGACAGGAGTTAGGGAGCCATTGGCTATTCTGACATAATCCCCTTTGGAACTGGGAGAGTAGTTTTTAAAGCCTTTAGAGGAGCCTGTCATGTGTTTATTCGCACCAGAATCAACAATCCAAGAATTAAGGTGAGTATTAAAGGCAATACCTGACTTCACGTAATTGGAAGTGGCAACATTAGAAGAGTCAAGTTTATTCAGGAGACGGCGAAGATGTTGAACTTCATCCGAAGACAAAGCATCTCCAGAAGCAGTTTCCCTACATTTTCTGCAATATTAGCCTGACCTCTAGTTGGTCTACCATGTAGTTTCCAGCATGTCTCATTCGTATGCCTTGGCTTTCCACAGTAATCACAGTGCAGGTGATCTTTATCAGAAGTGAACGCCTTTGGTTGTTCATGAGACACAGCTAACCCAGACTTCTCCATTGGTGCTGAATAAAGCATGACCCCTCGTCGACTCTCTTCCTGTTGAACATAAGAGTATGCATCCTCAAGAGAAGGAAAATGAACTTTACCGAGAACTTGAACCCTGATCTGATCATATTCTTGGTTCAAACCGGCCAGAAAATCATACACCCTTTCCCTTTCAACCAATCGTTGAAAGAGAACTGCATCATCAGTACACTTTGCTTGGAGATCCTGATAGTAGTCAATCTCCTTCCATAACCCGCTTAACTCGGAATAATAATCAGTGATAGTCAACTCACTTTGCTTAGTCGCATGAATTTTATTTCGAATTTCAAAAATCTGGGCATCATTTCCCTTGCGATAATAAGTGCGCTTGGCTGAATTCCAGATTTTTTCAGCAATGTCAAGCAACAAATATTGTTTAGAAATTCGAGGGTGCATAGTATTCAAAATCCAAGTCATAACAAGGGAAATATCATAATCCCATCGACTATAAGTAGCATCAGTCACAACAGGTTATTTATTTTCTCCAGTAATATAACCAATCATCTTCCTGGATTTAATAAACAACAAACAAGCCCTTGACCACGCAAGATACGAACCAGCACCATCCAATTTTACCATACTAATACCGTGTGAAACAGAATTATTGTTATCTACTGTTTTTGAGTCCCCATATTTTTGAACAATCTGAAGCACAAAAAGAAATTTCAGAATAAAAATTTTAAACAGAAGAACCTGGTAACCCAAAAACAGCCTTCAGAATCTGACAAAAAAAAAGGCTTCTGGAGCTAAACTGGTTACACCGGACTTGTCTTCTAGTGTTCGGAAAAATCTGAAACTTGTTTGGGTAGGTCGTACAGTAGGTATAATCCTTCCTGTGATACCAGTTTTTGTACACAACTGGCGAAGGGTGAAAAAAAGGCTTCGGACAGAAACTTTAGCAAGAAAACTAAAAGAAAGAGGGAGAAAACTCAACCTATGGAACCCTAGTGCTGCAGAGGGAGAAACCTCACCTCAAAAGGGCAGCAATGGCTCTGATACCATGATGAAATTGAGAAGAAGAGAAGGCTTCTTTGTATTTCAATGTATTTTACATCATACTGATACATGCCTTTATACAAAAGTTCTATAGCTATTCTAGGAAAGTAAATAAATGAAAATAATGAGAGAATATTCAGCTACAATCAAGCTATTAATTACAGATCTGATTCTCTGATTTCTCTCCTATAATTAAGCTGGTCAACACAGGGAGAATCCATAAACTGACTTACATCTAATATCCAACGATCTGCTCATGACCTCGATCCTCAAACAATAACCCTTTTCCTGGAGCCGATTTTATATACCGAAGAATACGGACAACTGCATCCCACTAACTATTACAGGGAGAATCCATAAAGTGACTTACAGCACTCACAAAACTGACTTACAACACTCACAGGAAAGGAAATGTCAGGTCTAGTCACTGTGAGATGATTTAATTTACCAACCAACCACCTATATCTTGCAGGATCGCTAAGCGACTCCCCCTGTCTTGGCATTAGTTTAGAATTCGGATCCATCGGAGTGTCAACAGGTCTACAGTCTGTTATTCCTGTCTCCTCAAGAATGTCTAAGGCATACTTCCGTTGTGAGATCACAATACCTGAGCTAGACCGAGCGACCTCAATACCCAGAAAATACTTTAATCTGCCCATTGCCGGTAATAACAATATCGTCAACATAGGCCACCAAATAAATACAGAGACTTGAAGCAGAATGCCGATAAAACACGGAGTTATCAGCGGAAAATAAAAAAAGATTGTCGGAATGTGATGAAACTTGAATGGGTAGAGTCGGAATTAGTAGATGAAGCAATTGTCCTGAAGAAACTTTTTCAAAAACAATGACCTGAAGGGGTCATTCTCGCCAGCGCTTGGGCTCACGCGCTCGCCGGGACCCTAGCTTCTGCCGGCACGTGAGGCTGCTTCTGCCGGAGAGATTGAGTAGGGTTTGGTCGCCGAACGATGACGGATCTTGTGGTAGTGTTGGATTTTGCACAACACTGACGGAGAGAGAGATGACGCAAGACAGCCGTGAAAAGTCGCCGAAAAATTGAGGCACAGTGACTTTCTGCTGTATTCTGGTTCCCGGATGTGTCTCACCACCACGGCTCTGATACCATGTGAGAAATAATATACGGGAAAAATATTCTACTATGATGTACCCTAACTATAATACAAGTACCCCTATTTATAACAATACACAATACCTACACTACTCCTATTCCATGTAGGACTATGTTTATTTACATAACAACTAACTAACTAACAGTGTTCAGTAGCATAAATACATACATATTTTAAATTTTTCAACATGTAATTGGCATGTATAAAGAAATTTATCAATCAAGGGGAATCCCCTTTCTGAAAGGTAGATACGATCTGTGCCTGTAAACATCCTACTTCAGTTAGTCAAATATTCCTTATTGGTTACTTTGCATTGATATGAAATTTTTACCTCAAACCTCTGGTCTTGAGCAACGAGTTCCTCAAAATGCCTTGCTAGTTCTATATGGTTTCTTATGTAAGCTTGAAGCTTTTCCATCCCATAGAGTCTCAATACCATCCACAACTTCAATGATCTGGTTAATAAACCAAATTAGATATGAAAAAGTTGAACCCTAATGCTGCAGTAAGTCCATATGAACTTCCTAAAACAACGTTCTTTGAGTACCCAAAGCAAATTGAAATGATGTTGAATTACAGAAAATATGTAAGAATTCAAGCACTTTATCTTATGAACCATTAAGCTGGTATCGCTTTATTTTTTAAAGTCCAAGGTACTCCAAAAACCCTCTATGTCAAAATAACTTTCATGAGCCATCATACTATCTACATAAACAAGATGTATATGTAATTCTTTCACCCCCTGGATCAGTAACGCTTGTCAGCTCACAAGATCAGAGATGATGTCTTTTTCTCAGTGTCCATTGTTTCATATTTGTCATTCAGGTTTAAGACATGCTTTCACTGTCGTTCACATTATTTCTCGTTTCGCTTTAAGGCATGTTTCCAATTGTAACAGCTGTGTGGACTTAGTTGCAGACCTAACATAAATAAATAAATGCATCTCCTCTATAACAACTTAAAATTTTAGAAGGGATGGCACACAATTAAACAGGCACCAACAGGGCACATGTCATAGTGCGATAACCTCGGCATCTAGCAAAATCAATATTGTCTAGTAAACTTTATACAACATTGATGGCATACCTGAACCTGCGTCCAAGGGGAATTTGCCAGTCCTTGTAATCCACAACCAAGTTTCCTTGAGAAGCCTGGATTATCAAGTTTATCAGTATAGGTGAACCAAAATTTTCACAAGAAAACTGGTTATCATGCATAATTAAACTATTCAACAATGTTAGTACCAAAAAGAAAATCCAACCTGTTGAAGTAACATTTACTTTCGAATAACTTCAAAGAAAAGAAGTTACCTATTGAACTCCAAAAACAGTTTATTTCATGCAATAAAAGGCATTTTAATCAGCAGTTTGGCTATCAGATCCCAAGAACTGATAGAGCTGATGCCTCAAAAGCACAAGATAACAAGTTTACAAAACAAATTTTAGTTACAGATCTGCAGAGAAATCCATTCAGTCAAAGACAATGATATGCATAGCAAAGAACAATTTATAAAAAAAGAGATCGAAGTTTGAAGCCGTCTCCGCAAGGGTGAAAGGGAGCTGTCACCAAACTCCTACCAAGTGACACAAGCACTGATCATTATTGTTTGGGGAAGTAAAAGTAACCTGATGCGTGATTACATTTCACAAATTCAATTTCCATGCTCATGCTCTGATAAACAAGAAATAAGCCTTATTTTATCTGTGTTAGAAGGTGGAATACTACAATTGTTTCTGATATTATAGTTATTTATTCTACTGACAAAAACTGAAAATATGAGTATTGAACCTAAGGATACTTACTTTGTTTTTGAGAAATTCAGGATTTGTTGACAGTGACTGGATAAGTGCACTCCGATCCTGTTCAGATGCAAATACCATTAAGTCCAGTTTTCCAAACTATACAAAGTCATGTTAGCTCCGGTGTCTGGAAAAGTATGTGTCCAGTAAATGAACTATTAAAAAGATGAATTACCAAAGCAGCAACTCAAACAAAATCTGGCCAACTACAGAAGCTGTTTCCAGTATCGGTTAAGATGACATGTATTGCTATTCAGTCAGGAGTATTTGGAGATGTCCTAAGGTCACCGAGGTCCTCCCATAATAGTGGAATTGCATATACTTCTATTTAGTTTATGGAATGACACCAGAAGATAGCACTGTACCTTGACCCAGAGAGCTGAACAGTCAAAGTTTGTCAGGAACCACTTATGTGCATTCATGTTGAAAGAATCAGCTTCTTCTACACCATCAATATAGTGCCGGAATTCTGGACAGATACATGCACTTCCAGCGTAGGCAGCATCCACATGAAACCACATGCTATTACTCTGTCATATAGGCATGTGACTTAGCCTTGTTCCATATGGACTAAACACTGACTATATGGACTCACTAACGGTGATGCAAAGAACACGGTTCAGTACACTGCTAATAATTACAAGATATCTGATAAAACCCATTAATACATACTGAGTTCAAGAATCAAAAGGTTCATTAAATGACTTACAGGAGCGGGATACAGAGAAGTATGAGATGCTTCCATAATCTACTCAACAACAAATGCAAGTTCTGTTTATGTTGCTTTGGGCATAACGTTTATGGTTTGTGCTTGACACCAGTGAGGCTCAACCCTATATGTTTACTGGTTATGGTTTAAATTTAGTGTGGTATCTTGAAGTGAAGTTCTGAATACTTGAGCTAGTAGTAAGCAACAAATACAGTGATGCAAGTAGAGAAACTATCATATGTGTTTCTGTTTGGATTTATGTAAAGAAATATATCAATCGCAATACAGGGAAAGTTCAGTGAGATCTAAATTTGTTGGACACTTAGCGTTGTTGTTTCATGGTTACAATTCAAAAGCAGCAATTTAGCTTCACTCTAGAGCATCCAAGTACCTTTGGACCTTCAAAAATATAGAAGTTAATATCTAAGCTAGTGGTGAGTTATATGCAACCGGAAAACCTGGCTGGCCTGAAAACTTTGTTTTTTGATTCGACCCAGAGCAGAGAACTAAAGTTATGACAAACAGAAATAAAATATACATTTGATGTATATTAAAATTTATACATGAAATATGATGAATGGCGCAATTAATGACTAAATATAGATAATAAGGGATATCTTAGGATTATATATCGATTCTTTTGGTCCACAAGGTATAATTAGGAAGCAGCAAAGAAGAAATTTAAACCCAAAGTAAAAATCCCAAGTTCCAACACTGAAAAACCCAACAGTCAAAATGATCCAAGTGAAAAGATTGAACTTCTCGGTTTGCCCATCTAAAAAGTGAAAACCGAGAAGGAATAAAACGAAGCAGACTGAAATAACCAATGCCCAGCCCTAATTTGAGAAATGGTCATACTTCCTTTCTTCGCCTATAAGTTAAATAAATTATCCCTCGTAACAGATTCTCCCCTCATGATGTCCAAACCCCTTTTACCAGGCTTTACCTTGGCAATCTTTCCCAGGGCAAGCAAAGGATCCACAGCAGTGGAAGATGTTGTACCAATCTGTGAATGAATAGCAAAAGACTGCTTTAGCATTTTAGAATCCACAGCAAGGAAATTACATGTCAAAAACAAGCAAAAGAGATGTTAGAAGATTTCTAAATGTGGCATACTTTAATTTTACTACACATTCAATTTATGTATAAACTTTACTGTTTAATGCTTTCCACACATCTGAATAAATTCCTAAGGACTGATTACCAACAATTTGCATCCAATGCTGTAACCAAGTTTACACTTGTGATGTCTCACAATTTAAGCATCTCAAAGTGCTTATATCTCAACCAACTTACTGACACATAAACATTAGTAAAAGAAGACTTGTGCATGGAAAATCACCTAGATAAGTTTTACTTTTGTGTAAAAGAGAGAAAGGGTCCTTATTGATGTTATCAATACACAAATCACTATATGCTAACTAGACAAGCCAATATAAATAGCTTCGCTGTTCATTGAAAGAAATGAATACAGAAAATGCATTTTCTTTTTTGAATGTAAAGAAATATGTAGGTTAAGACAACCTTAAAAAGTCTCAAACTCGAATTTAAGTTCAAGACGCCTATATCCTAACTTAGTAAAGTAATCACTATTTAAAGCCTTTAAAGTTTTGAGGTGGATTTAATGATCTTCTTTCTCTTTTCTAGAACAGGACTTTGCAGAAACTTATCTTGTCAGTGAGACCTAAGGGCTATGCAGAATCTTACCCAAAATGAAAGAGACCCAAAAAGTCAACCGAAGAAAATAGTTCTTTTGCTAATACATTGCAAGATATGGTTTGGAAAGATAGACATGGTATCTTCTTTTTTCTATTTTCCTTACAGTAGCACAAAAGAAGAAGGGTATTAAACCAGTGGCCAGGTCATGTGATACAGCTTCTGAAAGTGTGTCAGGAGAAAGAGCATAATCCTTGGATGGGTCTGCTTTCAGCATCCTAAAGTTCTCAGGATGAATTCCTCCTATCTGCCACAATACAGAAACTAAAAGTAACTGATCTCAAAGACGAAATGGGTTAGAAAAAAGAGACTTTTATTTGCAAAAAGGCATCCTTTTTCGTATGTTCGATGTAGATTAACATTGGTGAACCGAACATGAATTCCTGTCATCCTCAACTTTTCCTTGTTACCACTTTTGTTAAGTAAATTAGCAATCATGCACAACGTCAATCAATTTTGACATATACCTGGCAAGCTTTCTGTAAAGCAGAATGAGTTTGATCAGAACAATAGACCACCAATTTGCCAATTGCATCTTTTCCGACCTTTCTCAAGACCTTGTCCCGAGCAGCTAAAAGCACAACTAGAACAGCTTCACTTGCTGTTCCCTGTATAACTCCACCTCCTTGAGCTGAAAGTCAATTTTTACAAAATGAAACCATTTTGTATGACCAATCAACTCCCCTGTTTGACCTTAGCAAAGATATCTTTTGGAAAGAAAATACAGTGGACATATTTAAGTCGATCATCCATCTTTTATAAAGTAAGGTTCTATCTTCTCCCTCCTAACTTTTCGCTTAACTTATCTCAAATTTCTAGTACTTTTAACCAAAACTCAAAATAAAGTGTGCTCAAAGAGCACAAGTTGCCTGTAATTTCAAATTTTCATGTTGTTCCAATAAGAACCGAATAAAATATTCAAATTTACAAATGTTTTCCACACAAATCCACAATTTGACTTTTTTCGAGCGCTGGAGTGGAAGACAAAGGTCATTACCTGTTGAAAGGAATTCATCGGGCAACTTAAGTTCTTTAGCAAGCCAATCCAGAACGATCATTTCGAGTTCTGTTGCTGCTGGAGAAGTTATCCAACTAAAACCAACCATGTTAATCCCGGCACTGAGCATCTCCCCCAAAAATCCAGCTACACTACTATTAGAAGGAAAATATGCAAAGTAATCTGGGCTCTGCCAATGAGTCACCCCTGGTAATATTTTTGTCTGTACATCTGGATCAAATGGCACAAGATCCCAATTACACGCCTGCTCATCAATGTCTTATCCTTTCTTTTTAAGACGGCATGAGATATCAAATGATGCAATAATTTCAATTATACACAAAATTACTAGATATTTCACCTTCAAGAACGTCTTGCAATGTCTCGGAATGAGCAGGTGCGGTTTCAGGAAGTAGCTTACGAAGATAACCGGGCTTCGCAAAGGCAAGGAGTGGAAACAATCAATAACTGAGGTCAAATTACTAGTAACAACTAAACAGAATTCTTATGATGAACAATGATTTCTCATATATTGACCAACTAGGATAGTAAGACATGTATGTATTGTAAAAAGAGTGAGCTTTACTAATATCATTCATAATAGATTTGTTAATTTCTAGTAAACTCACCACAAGGTATTCAGATTCAGACGTCTTGGCGAGTAAAAGGATTGTGCATGGGAAATAATAAGGGGAAAGAAATTGAAGGGTAGTTATAAAAAAACCTGAACTTGACTGAGAACAGGAAAGTTCTCGATATTCTTGTAATAATCAGCAATGAAATCCACCATTTGGTGACCATACTCTCTCAGTTGCTCTGCATCCATGGGCTTCAATTCACCCTCCCTAAACATACCAAATAAAGAAAACCCCTAACTTTATACACAAAATCATAGCAAACGTAATTCTAAGTCAGAATTTCATTTTTGCATAACTCCGAATTGGCACTTACATTTTCGTTCTAAGTTAATGTATGAACTCAGCGCAACAGATGAAAGGGAAAAATGAGAGTGAAGAGACTAGTGGTGTGGAGGGAGAATGAAATCGCAAGTTTCAGATACTACTTATTTGGTGTGCAGAGCAAATGACGCAGCAAAGGAACAACTGGAAGACGTCAATCTCCCACGTTACATTTACCAACTCCTCTTCTTTCAGATAAAGATGGGTTTTGAGTGCTATCTTCTTTTCTTAGGTAACTTTGATTTTATTTTATTCTATAGTTGAAGTGAATACTATTTATTTAATTAAACATGTATATATTTTATATTTTAACACTTACATATATAAACTTTGATTGCAATTTTATTTTATGTTAGAACATTTTTGTGTAGGTCTTATGATTTAAGTGGTCTTACTTTTTGTTTTGCAAATAGGAAATATTACTATGCTTCTAACTAAAATTCAAAAATACAGCCAAAATACTATGTGGTCCTTTCTTATTATTCTTTTGTATCTCCTTATTATTTTTACACAATTGGCTCCTTTTAGTAAAATCTGACTTTGTGAATGACCAATTTGTGCGCATTGCCATTATTTGGTATAGCAACACATATTTGTATGCATTTCCTTTTTTTTATTATTCTTTCTTCTTCTTCTTTTTAATCTAAGCCTCCAGAGTAATTAATTAAAGTGAGTGCAATTAATATATGTTCTTTAAAGAAAAATAGTTCATTTTTTTCAGGCCAAAAGAAAATAATTCATTATTAGAAATAGTTTCATGAACCAACTAATTGCGAATCCGGAACCAAAATGTGGTTCTTTTGGACTCAAATGACCGAAATATGTGGGGAAAAAAGATAGTAACCAAAATATGTGTAACGCCCTTTAAAAGGGCGTAATACGTGAATTTGAAAAGACGGGTATAGCGTCTTTTATTATCGCGCTATACATATTTTGTGGGCCCACCAATAATTCTTCTGGGCTTAGCTGACATAACAATAATTCAACTTGGTATAGCGCCCTTATTTAAGGCGCTACACCTAAAAGAATTGTACCCCGGGACTGGTTTTTGCACTATTTAAGGAGGTTAAGAATTTTCTAAAAATCCATTCATAAATATTCTCAAGTCTTCTGAAATATTTCTTCATTAAGTTGTTTTGCATTTTGTCATAATATCTGAAGAGCGAAAAGTAAGGGTTTCATTATATTGGGGGAGGGGGAGGGGGTGAGGTTGTGGTGGCGAATAACTCAGTAACCTATAGTTTATCTCCATAGTGTCATGTTAAGTTGCCACTTACAATGGAGTACGATAAATTGGTATCGTTGTTATGTAAAAAAATGAGTGTGAGCAAACGTTCGGTGAACCATAAAGTAATCAAAAGATATCCATATTCTGTCACTCCGTAAGGGGTTGCTTGTTATGCTGAGTTTAACATCGAGGACAATGAAACCCTGAGAGATTTTTTGAGGACTCCGGATGAATACCGAAAATTTCTTGTGATAAAAATGTTGGAAATGTACGTCAAGGTTGAAGACGTTTGCAATAATGAGGTTGCGCAAAGCAGGGATATCCCTCAGTCATCGGGTGGTTATTTTAGAGCAGTTTTAGCCGAACAGGTTCCGGCTGAAAGAGTTTGGCCTGATCTAAACTTATCTCCACGGGCGAATGAGGAGCGAGAAAATAATTTCTCTCCTAGTTTACATAATCCACAAGACGAGTGGTAAACTTCAATTTTTCTTTGTGTTACGATGTTTATTTTTGCTGTATTGAATTTGTATTAACACTAATATATTCCACATGGGGTACCGGCCAGATATGAATTTTACAAGTTATGAACCAACGTCCGGTTAGAATATGCCTAGTTCTGATGTGTTGAATCATGGTGGTCCATCCGGGAGTCATCACCAACAGGATAATGTCCATCATGGGATGTCAACACATTACAATTTGTAAGTGAAGTGATATAGCTATATATAAAGTATTTATCAATTTGAGTAACTCATTATTTTGTTGGTTGTGCAATGAAAACGAGCATCCTGAAGGTCCTGTCCTTACTCAATTACCCGAAGACGACATATTTAATCAGGATCTGGCAGATGCACAGAGTCAGGAAGAGAATAATGATTATGACAACAATGCCGATGAGTCTGGAGATGACACACCCTTCTGTGATGACGGTGATGATGAGGAGGAAGAGAATGCTGGACCTGATTTGATGAGGGAGCATGCTCCACCCCCCGTTAGACCAAGAGTGTACGAGTCCCACGTGTCATTTCATTCAAGGGAGATTCCCTACCTTGATCATTTTCCAAGTATGCCGGATATGGATACCCTCACATGGGATATTGACAAAATTCGGACAGCAATGTGGGATGAATCTAGAGCAACGATGTTGTCAAAGGGCATGTTTTTTCCCGATAAAGCACGTCTAACCAGGGTAGTGCTAATGTACAGCGTAAAAGAGTGTCGTAAGATCACAGTACGCGAGTCATCTCCAAATGTATACAAGGTAGTCTGCCATAAATGGCTTACGGGTTGTAATTGAATGTTGCGTGCGAGGAAGAAGAAAACAAATATGTGGGTTGTGAGTAAATACATTGGCACCAACAATTGTGAAATGGACACATTCAGTGAGAATCATTTTAACTTGAATGCTGACTTGATTTCTCTTGTCTTGATTCCATAGATTGAAGCGTCCATAAGGTACAAGATCAAAGAGTGTATAACATCCGTCCACCAGGAATATGGGTGCACCATTACCAAAAGAAAGGAATTTCTCAGGCGCAAACGTGCATTTGAAATTATTTATGGTAACTGGGATAAGTCCTTTGCATCTCTACCCTAGGTGCATGGCTGCATTGCAACACTTTAACCATGGGACTGTTGTTGAATGGAAGCTTGAGCGGAGTCCGGGAATACCAGAACATATATTTAAATATGTGTTCTGGGCATTTAAACCAGCAATTTATGGTTTTCTGCATTGCCGGCTGGTAATATCCATAGACGGCACTCATGTCTATGAAAAGTATGAGATTAAGTTTTTGATCGCCGTTGCAGTAGATGCTAATGGAAGCATATTTTCCTTAGCTTTTGCTATTTGTGCCAATGAAAGCCAAGAGACGTGGACACTATTTTTGAACCACTTGAAAGAGCACGTTATCAAACAACGTTCAGGTATTTGTATAATATCTGATCGGCATAGTGGTATTTTAAGTTCTGTACAGAATTTGTGTACATGGCAGGAACCATATGACTACCACCGTTACTGTGTGAGGCACTTGAAGGCCAATTTCCAGAACGCATATCCCAGCAAGGATTTGCATGATTTAATGTGGATAGTTGCAACAGATCACCAAGAGTATAAATTCAGGAGGCGCATGGAATCTATCAGGCAGGAAGACGAGGGAGCCTATCGTTGGTTGATGCGATATGAGCTTGACAAGTGAACTTTGCATGCGGATGGTGGCAGAAGATGGGGAATTCTGACTACAAATGTGTCAGAATCTTTTAACGGGTTATTGAAGTCTACACGTGGATTGCATGTCACTGCCATGGTGCGGATGTCATTCAAGCAGATGGCAGAGAGGTTTGTTGAAAGGGCTAGAGATGCATCGTCATTGATGGAAAGGGGTGTTGACTTTATGCCAATACCAATGAAAAGATTTGAGAAATACAGGAGGCGAGCACATTGGCATTCATATTTACAGTATTGCAACGAGCAAAATATTTTAGAAGTTCGCACCGCTATCCATCAAAATCGGGGGAATAATACACACACCGTAAATGAAGCCAGAAGGTTATGCTCTTGTGGAAAATGGTCCATCTACCACATGTCGTGCTCACATGCCATCGAGTGCTTTCAACATAGAGGTTTAGGGGCAACTAACTACGTTAATAAAGAATATAGTGTTGTTGCATACTTAAACACCCATAGTGGGCAGTTGCAGCCAGTGGGTGCTGAGCATTATTGGCCGCCGGAACCATTTAAAATGGTGTGTAACAAGGACTATGTACGTCAACGACAAGTGAAAAAAAGAACGTGTATGCGGAACCAAATAGATATTGGTGATATCATTTATGCGAACAAATATGGTATATGCTCGCAAACAGGACACGACCGTCGTAAATGTCCTTTAGCTGGTTTGGGTGGCAGTGGTAATCCAGCTCATGGTGGAAGTTTATTTAATGTGCCCAACTATCAAGAATACACGTAGTGTTTTGTTTCCGTAATGTGGTTGTAATAAGTGTATGTACTTGTTTATCTTGCAGAATGTATAAAATAAAATAATGTCTCCATTACTATTAAATCTTATTGATATTTAACATTAATATTTTAGTACAACAATCTAACATAAACCCATTTTTTTTTAAAAACAATTGTCTTGTTGACCTGAAAAAGTTGATCACCTGCAAAAGCTATAATCTGGAAAAGTTGTATTGTACCCGAAAGAATCTTTAACACGCGAAGCATAACGCAGTGAAATACTACGTTATGTGGGTTGTCTTGTCGACGTAAAAAGTTGCTCGCCTGCAAAAGCTAACTTCTGGAAATGTTGTATTGTACCCGAAAGAATCTTTAACACGCGAAGCATAGCGCGGTGAAATACTACGTTATGTGTGTTGTCTTGTCGACCTGAAAAGCTGCTCGCCTGCAAAAGCTATCTTCTGGAAAAGTTGTTTTATACCCGAAGGAATCTTTAACACGCGAAGCATAGCGCGGTGAAATATTACGTTAGGTGGATTGTCTTGCCTATAAATAACTAGCGCATTTTAGTTATTATTTGCGCTTAACCAAAACAAATAGCAAAACTTTCCATAATTTTTTTTTCTTGCATTAACAAATGTCTGGACGCAATGACCAACCAAGGTGCTATTGTGACAACCGTGCGATTTTGAAGGCATGTTGGTCCGATGGTAATGTTGGGCGCAGATACTGGATGTGTCAACAATTGTTTGGACACAATAAAGAAAATCATTATATGTTTGAGGAATGGTATGATGAACCCATTAACCAGGAATACTACAAATCATATTTGCAGTATGTTTGGAATATGAACGGCGAATGCCAAATCTCTGAAATGCAACGAGAAATTGCAGCAGTGCAGGAGAAACTAAAAGAGGCGAAAGAAGACAAAAATAAAATGCAAGAGAAATTTAAGTGGTTGGAGCAGAGAATAATAGGCGGTAATGACTAACAAACACATGTATGTGT